AAAAAAAAAAAAAAAAAAAAAAAGGAATAATAATTTGAGATGCACAACTGAGCGAGCGTGTTAGGTTATTTATTTCTTAATTATAATTTAAGCAATTATTTAAAGGGGAAAACTTTTGGGTGGATTTTGCGAAGAAAGCCGCGAAGATAACTAATTTGAGGGGGTGCGGGTGTGGCTTGGCGAGGGAGTCAACAAACTCAGGGTGCGCCTCTATTCTCCCCCAATTCACATTCTTACATTTTGTTCTATTCTAAGTCTGCGTCTCGGTTTTGTTCTGTCCCCAAACGCAGCGCCATCGTCCTCTCTTAATTAATTGCGCGCCTCTCCATTTTCTCTCCCGATCCTCCACCGCCACCGGACCTATTTACTCCTCTCAATCTGACCCCGACCCTTGTGCTTAAAATCCCCAACTTCGACGATTCCATTTCTGGTAATTCCCACTCCATTTCACTCTCGATTCCTTCTCGCTGGGGTTTTGATTTCTGTTTTATTTTCCCATCGGTTTCTCTATTGTCTTCGTTTCCTTTTCCCAGTTTAATTCGTCCTTTTATTGTTTATGGGTGATCCTGATCTGAACATGCGGGGATTGGGTTGGGTTGTGGTTTGAGGGTCTGGATTACTGATAGATCGCAGATTCTATTTTAAAGAACAAACAATTGAAATTTGAGAGAATTTTAATGCGTCGGGGGATTTGCAGTTTCTCAATTGCCACAAAATTTCCGTGCTTGCGCTTTTAATTGCATCATTCGTTTTATTATTGTTTGGCGGGCGGATGAGTATATGATACTTCCGATGATCCTGTTGGAATTTTGGAGCACGTAAGAAGAATTTCGCTGCGATTGTTCTATCAACCTTTAACAGTTTTTAAACTATCTTGGATCTGTTTCCCATGTTTTTCTTATCCTTCGAGAGTGGAATTTTAATTTGCTTTTCTACTGAGTCAACTACTCTTAATCGAAAAGCACCCATTAATTCAATTATTCTGCTCGTCTTTTATGAAATTTTAAATGGAAAAGACAAATGATGCATTAAATATGAAGGATGAATAACGAAGGGCATTGCGAGCTGGAACGGTGAAATGTGAACTGAATATCAGAGAATTACTAGCAATTGAATCGGGTGCTGACTATGCCTTGCGTTGCTTGTTCCCGCAGTTCAGAGATAGCCTGCTTTGTGTATCGAAAGTCTTGTTTCTCACCTGTATGTGTATAAAGTTTATATGTATCAACATCTTGAACTAAAAATTTCACATTGTATGCCTTCTGGTTTAGAAATATATCTTGTCTCTTTAGGGTTTTTAAAAATAAAACTGCTTCTGTATTTGGGAAAATAATCATTTGCGGCGTTCATCGGTTCTTTCCAATAGTTTTGTTTTTTGCCCTCTTTTTATGACACCTCACAGGCACTGAATCTGAGGTTGAAGAAAGAGCAATAGCAGTTGATTTTCTTTGTCTATAGCTCGTGGAATGGCAGATAAATCATGTATCAAGCGGCTTCAGAAAGAATATAGGGCTCTTTGTAAAGTACGTGACTTTATTTTTGTTTTCTATTGTTTGGCTTTCTTGTTTTTTTTAAAATACTAATGTTACAATGCATTCATTTACCGGATAAGTTATTTATTGACCAATCTTGACAACAAAACGTTAGATTGGTGTTTATCTTATGGCTGATTTCATAAGTGTTTTTTTATTACTCGACAAACTGAATGTTTTAACTCTTGCTCTTCATTTTTCATGCTGATGTGTAGACATGTTTTTGTATTTGTCCCCAATTGCTGACTCTGCTATTTGTAAATTTTTAGGAGCCTGTTTCACACATTGTTGCTCGTCCCTCTCCCAGTGATATTCTTGAGTGGCGTAAGTTGTTCCTATTGATATTGTTTTGGTGTTGGTCATAGTGCTCCTCATTTTTGTGTGCATGTAGGCTACACCAACGAATTTTTGAAGTTGACTTTGGTCTAGTTTTTAATTGATGCAAAGTTTAAAATGACAAGTTTTATCATTTTGTGGCTGGAAGATTGAGAAATAACTGTGAGGACATTGCGATGTTGAATAATAGTTAAATTGTGAGTTATTGGCTGAATGGTAAAGTTGGGGTCTTCAGTTTATTCTTTGCTAGGACTGCACTTACCTTTAGCAATAATTTGTTGGGACTTGAGGGTTTGCAAGTATTGATAGCCTGTTCCATGGCATAATTAGATTCTTATTTTTCTTAATGTTTTGCATCAGCTTTTTTTTTTTTTTTTTTATT